AAAATGTTTTTTATATGTGCGCAATTAATTACTTTAATTTAACTTAATGTCTATCATACACAAATGTATTACATATATAAACAATATGAATATTTGTTATCTGTAACGTTCTACAATATATATAGTTTCTAGTGTTTTTTTGTGTATATTGTATGAATTTTATACTATGGCAACAATGCTTTTATTTTTACGGTAACAACTTCTTTTTATAAAATAATTTTTCATTGCTACAACTCTTTGCATTGATTCAATTTAGTTTTCGTTCTCATAAAGACAATGCCAACACTAAAACGTAGTGTTTATTTGCTCTGTGGTTCATATTCTCATTCTGTAACACAGGTGCAGCTCAGTTATTTAATAACAGTAAATTAATTACACCTAATATTTCCAACTGTTTTTGTTTTTCCCACATATTCTCTAGCGGTACTTATTCAATTTTACGTACTCGAATAAAGCACAGAGTACACGAGTTCAGTTAATCTTATAATCACGGATTAGAATCTGCAGTTTCATTGATCATTTACCCCAAATGTAATAAAAATGGTCATAAAAAACAGCCCTCACCACCTAATGTTCGTTTGATCATGCATATATTTAAATGCGCTTAAAAACCGCACGTGGAGCCATAATCACATGACAAAGAGACGTTAGAATGGATGTTAGAATATATTTATCTAACAGAACCCCACAGGTGAGGCGTAGAAATGTTTTATCTTTTCCACTGACTTAGACAGAGGTTCGAAATTCGTTTGTTTTTTCTGTAGTTAGATTTATGTAATCGGAATGATAAACAAATTGCCCACCTGACGGTAAGTGGTAATTGTCATCTATATGACGGCTTCTAGAGGTTTAGCACGTCACCTTACTTCCGAAGGTCGCGAGTTCGCTTCACGGTACAAACATTCATAAGTATGATTGTTTGTATCGACCTGGTGTTTTCTATGTAGGTATATTATGTATCTATTTACCAAAAAACTGTATCTATGTATGTATATCAGTTAGCTGCTTAGCTTGGGACTTACACGGAGCTATGCGAATTGTCTTGAGATGTTATTATTATTTTATGAATAGCAATATTTCATTTCATTTCATTTCATTTCATTTCAAAGCAAGTGAGACTGCGGTACCAAAAAGGATGACTTTATATGAATATGTCAGGGTTATTGAGCATTTAACGTGATATTTTACAATAAATTGCACTAAATAAGGCCAATTTATACTGCAACTACCTGTGCCCGCGGTTTCACCTCGTAAAATTTATAGCCTATGTGTTAATCTGATGTAAACTATATTATTGTAAAGTTTAAATTATTGTAAAATCTCTTCAGTAATGTTCGCGTGAAGGGGTAACAAACATCACAAATTTCCACGATTATAATAGTGGTAAGATTATGAAATATCTGAACTGGAAACTCAAACACAAGTTCGGCAGCTTAAACTGTAACTGCATTGTTCCATTAGTTTGTCTATATTCTTAAATAAATAATATTGAAGTGTCTGTTTGTAATTTCAAATTAACAGTTGTCATAAAATCACACAAAAGCATCTATATATACCCATATGCGGTATAATCACATAAAAAAATAATTTAAGCAAATTTTGTCTGTCTATTTGTTTTTTTTTATTATTATAAATGGGTTTGCTCTTGGCATTACCTCATCTGATTTTACATCTATCTGTTTATTCTTGCTAATATCAGAAATTGGAAATTGGATCAATTATGACGTGTCATTCTGAGAGTAAAAGATTCTTATGTTAGTCTACTTTTATTTTAGAATCTTTAATTATTATTATAACAAAAAAAGATAAATTCCATGCGGATGAAGTCGCAAGTATACTATCTACAATAGTATAGATATACATAGTATAGCGAAGTTTGAAATGGTTCAACCGACGTTCCACATAACAATAGCTGTTCAGTTCCTTGCACTAGATATCTACTGAATGGATACAATATTACTATAGATACATGCTGCTGGTATGAACTATATATTTTAATGGGAACACATTTATTTATATTATGTAATATTTTCTTATCTGTGTTTATGAAATGAAATGAAATGAAATGAAATGAAATGAAATGAAATGAAATGAAATGAAATGAAATAATTTATTTGCGAAATATTGGTACAGTAGTATAATTAATACGATGCCACATGAAATCCATTGATCAGCAATATTTACCATACAGGCATGCAAATTACGTGAAGGCGCTTGTGCCACTCAAATATTCTTGGACACTGTATATTTATATTGTCTATAAAATCAATCGAAGCGTCCGTGTGCAGTAGTTAGCTCATATTGTGATGATTGTGGTTACGATCATAACACAAACTTTTGTGTAACTCAAATTATACACAATTGATTCATACATATACTTTTTTAAAGATATAGGCAGGTGTAATCAAAACTAGCGTAAAGTTTCATTAAAATCCATTCATCATCCGATTTTGCGTGAAAGAGTATCTAACAAACGTCATCCATCCATCTATACTCTCAAACTCTTGCGTAAGTTTTTTAATACCATCACAAAACAATTACTCACTATCCACACTATTTAGTAACAACATTAGTTACAAGTTTAACAAGTATCCTCCATTTTTTCATTATTCAATACTAGCTGTGCCGGCGGTTTCACCCGCTAGAAATTTATAGCCCATATGTTATTCTGATATATAAGCTATATTACTGTAAAGTTTCATCAAAATCCATTCAGTAGTATTTGCGTGAAAGTGTAACAAACATCCATCCATACTCACATACTTTCGCGTTTATAATATTTGTAAGACGTAAGATAATGTGTTATGAACAAAATCTCAGAAATAAATATATTAATTACAAACTCCTTAAACTTATTGTAACGTGTTCAATTGTGTTCGTTTCCTCTGTAGTGATCTACGTTATCCGTAATGTCAATGACACGCAGCAGATGTTTTGAGTCGCACTGTCGTATGTTGCATATATCCTGTTGACCCTACTTGAACTACGAATGTAGACAGCTGCACTTGCTTCCAAAACTACGTCCCGAGATGCTTACAAACTTTACCCATTATATTAATAAAGAAAGCATAAAATATTCTAAAATTAGATAATGTTAACTTACCCGAAAAGCATTGTTTTGGGCATCCTTATTATTCTAAATAAATTTACGGTCCCTAATTCTTAATCTGGATTTTGCAATCCTGATGAAATAAGGCACCGCGAATATTTCCTATTTTTTAAGTTAGACTATGGAATATTTTAATTTATCTGTGGTTGGACCTAATTACTTACAAACTACACACTGAGACAAATTAAATGAAAATTCGTTAAGAAATTCATGTGTTTATACCGAACTATCGTGATGTAAAATTTGTATATAAATACATGTAACGAGACTATTAGACTACTGTATTATAATTGTCTATTGTTATTACCAATATATGTAATATTTTTCTTTTAATTCGTTTTTCAAAATGGTTTGATGTTTCTATTACACCCGAGCGAAGCTACGAAAAGCCGATAGGTAACACGTAGTATAAAATAAAGTCGCCGCTGCTGTGTTGGCTTATATGTTTTAAATAACACTACTAATTTTAATGCCGTTTCCAGATTAATGAAAACTGCATTAAGATAGAGTGATTTAAGAGGAAGGTTTATGTATATAATAGATGCGTAGAAGAACAAGCTGAGAACTTCAAAGATTTGTAAAGCATCCCGGGACGGGTCGCTAGTCAGACAATAAACTGTAGCGTTGTAACCTAATATAGCCCTAGTTCGTTTCTATTTGTAGCACCAAACAAAACCACTGTACTGTAATTTCCACTATTCATTCAAATGTAACTACAGTTGAGTAATTAGACAGTCCTAAATGTAAACTCAAACCTGAATTTCCAACAAAAGCTTTCAAAATGGAAGTTAATACCCTTGACGTCATAACTAGGACATCAGATGTCACTCCGTGTTATCTTCAGCAACCACCCACGCACCTCCCTCGTCTAATAATACTCAGGTTAATATATTGACCGACACAAAAATATCGAGCAACACTCAATGAACCCTACAAGACTAAAAATAATAGTACTCACTCGCCTACTTAAGTGTGCAACCTTTTCGATTGACACCCGTGCGCAATCACCTTGATTTTGAAGCCGTATTCTCATTACAGAGTGATCTATTATAATTATACCCCTGGATAATTGACATAACGTCATCTAATCACAAGGTTAGCACAGCTTGTGGTACTTAAGACTAATAAAAAAACTTAATAAATTGTAACCGTTTAACTGAAAAAAGTACGTTAGTATAGTTAATATTATGTTATCTGTGGTATAGTTATTTGTACTACCCGCATGTTAGTAACCATTCCGAAGACAAGTTCATTAAAAAGATTTAAGGCTATAGTCAGCCCGTTTTATTTAAGCATATACTGCAAAGAAGTGCAAAAACCGCAATTGAGAAAGGTACGGAAAAGTGAATGTGACTTCCTTTTATGATATATGCGCTAAGAAAAGAATTCGCAAAGTTCTCACGGGAACAGAGAATAATAACGTGTTTCCAAATAAAACCACAATGAAGTCCTTAATTTTTATGATTTACTTAATTTGAGTAGAGAAAATTATAAAATTTTCCGTATATAATCACTTGGTTTCGACAAATAAATTAATTATGAACCAACTGTGTATGTGGTAGAGTCAAATTTACCTACTAATATATAAACATTTTTGTACCTTGTCGTTGTAACTTTATTGCCAATTCGTAGTCGTAAAGAAAGTACAAATTAAGTGGAAAAGTGTAAAGTTAAGGGTTAATCAAGTAAAAACAATTATACTTTTGAATACAAATATTCGTACCGCGAGCAATCGAACCCGCGACCATCGGAAGTAAGCCGGTGTGCCAAACTGCTAGACCACCGAGGTCGTTATTATATGCAAGTAACATGTGCTGTGAGATATCTTAACAATAACTTTATTCATGTAAGGCCGAGATAGATCGCTAATATTAATATTGAATTGTTTCAGTGTTAGCGTGCCAGGGTATGCAGGAAGCCTGTCCGCGTCTCTGCCTGGTGGTGGTGCTGCGGCCTGGGAGCGTCTAGGAGCCGAGCTGGTGCTGTCAGCTCTGATTGCTGCTGCCTACTTCGCAGCCATGGAGAGGAGGTGGACAGGCGCTGCTCCCGCACTTCTTGGCATTGCCTATTGTGCGGCCAGCTTCGTTTCCGTAAGATTTTTATTATCGTATTATCTAGTCGTAAGGACTGAGCAATCTGTTGGGGTAAGACATGATAGTGAAATTATAGGGTACATTAAGCGTGATATTAGGGGCGTTACATGATGACGTGATGCCTCTAATTTAATGCTTACGTGGTGGTGTCTTCATGTACTTAAAAACATATAGGTGACTTATTACTAGGTTAGCTGTTAGCTTGTTTTTGGTTAGCGGTTAGCTTTGCAACTACATAAAAACATTTGACTATCACATATTAATGTGCCATTTCTTCATCTTTCTTAGTATATTTCGACCAAGATTGTTAGCGTGGGGTTGAAACATGGAGTCTTATTTTATATGTATTTCGTTATCACTTCCTTCGCGGTTGAAGTCGAAATGTGAAAATAATTTATGAATCGTTGGCATAAAACGACGTTACATTATCGATCGATATATAATTTATCCAATCAACCATTTTTTTCGGATTATGGAAACATCTTTTACAACCTGTGAGGTACTAGTTTTTGTATAAAATTGTTCAATACAAACACTGAATTGTCGTTAACATATAGAAGTAGTGATGTTCTTTATTTAGTTTAGCAATGAAAATATAGGTACATTATTCTTTCCTTAAGTTCCGTAACATTATTATTTCGGAAAGTGTTGTTTTCTAATATTTCTCGCTGTAAATACCTACTGTGAATCGTTTGTGTTAATTTCTCATCTCTCATTTATATCTAAATTATACAGACATCTAAATACCAATACCTAAACGAATACCTATCGTTCTTAAGGTCAAATATTAGATATGAAACGATTGTATAGACGAGGATACAAAGGCTGGCATCTAATAGATTTATGTACTGAATATAATCTATTTATATCGTCTAGTGCAAAGGTAAATCTCACTTCGTAACGTGAAACTCTTTAGACACAGGAACAGTGGCTCTATGGAGTACTATGGACTCCTACACAAATCTGTATCTACATTATACTGTACGATGTACGACGCACTACCTGCCTTTTGTGTAGACTCCTTAACGGACAGCTGTCGCTGTTTTTTGTCCTTACATCTGTTCAATCGGACAAAAGTGGTGATTTAAAGAAAAAAAATACGAAGACGACTGCTATCTATGGTTCGATAGTTTGCGATGAATGCACGTTTTGGAAATATTCTATCTTGTAGTTTAATTAGAATTGGTATAAATATAAATATACTTCCTACATCATTATGTATTCATTCAAAACGTTATGCAATTGTACGTTATGTTTTATACGTTAGTGTATTTAAACAGCTCTAAGAATAATGTTAGAAACTCACATTATGTCTATACTGTTGAATGGATATAGAATTGTATGTATAATTGTATTTTTGTCTATAAAGTTCTATGTGAAAAAAGTATATTAAAATAGTTTTAATATTACGTCATGTCATTTAGTTCATCCCAAATCAACATATACCATATCTATAGGAGAATATATCTCTTATGGATATTGTGTGTGTTGATTTAGTATTCATTTGACACAAAGTTCTAGCGCGTTAGTATAGACAGATATTCACTCCCAGTTATCCTTCTTTAGACTAATGTATCGTTCTTTGCTTAACTAATCGCCTTTTGAGACATCCGTTTGGGATGACGAGAAATCAATGCAAAAGCAAATAAACTAAACCTACATATATGACATACTATACTTACATATTGATGGATTGCGTTGATTTTAATGCCAACTAAATACCTACTGTGCAAATAATTTCCGAATTCTCCAATGAAACTAAAAGCGCGTCGCAATCATAAACAGCACAGCGCAGGTAGCCCTATATTGTTATATTCAGAACGAAGCTATTGTGCTGTAATTGCATGGACTCCTTTTAACTCAATGGATACGGTTTTTATATCGCACATTCGTTTCCGTTCCGACGCTCCGTTCGAGGATGACAGTAAAAACATATAAGCACTCTGCATATAAATAGACGTTGAACTCTACAATTTCTATGTTGCATGCTGTAAGATTGCATCACTTAAAAATATGTACAAAATCAGATGCGTGATTTCTTTGTTTTTATGTTTTCTAAGTTGTATATCGGTTCAAAGTACATATAAATCGAAATAAACTTATTTAAATTCTGGGATAATATATACATCTATATATGTCTTGATGACTAAGAAGTCATCAGGAGTGTCAACGTATAATGGACACTGAAGTCGTCACCGGATGACGTGATATCTTTGCTGCTATTCATTTACAGAAGTGACAGTTTCTACTTTGCAGCGGCTCGTTTGTTATTCATATTTTATTACATAATAAAAATACTTTTACAGATGCCCTCACTGAATCCGGCGAGGTCACTGGGTCCTTCCTTTGTCCTGTCCCGGTGGGAGAGCCACTGGGTGTGCTGGGTTGGTGGTATAGGCGGAGGTATCGCCTGCGCCCTACTTCACGAGTGGGGCTCACGGCGTCCCGGAGCAAATTCAAACTCACGCGCGTCCTCGCCGCGTGATCTGGATGAATTGGACAAACCGGCCTTCCCATCGTCACATCATTATCGACATGCGCCTACCTACTGCTCAGCCTCTGCACCACGACCTGACAACGCTGAGCCTCTGTACTCTGGCACTAAGTCACTTTACTGCCGGTCACCGCCGCCTGCGCGACACACGCTGCACAGGTCAGCTGAAGGATCGTCTTTATACATGTAATTATGTTCCTGCCATCTCTCTTGTACAGACAGAACAGATTGCAGTGACAATAACCATTTGTTATGTCCTTACAATAAATGCCTGATCGAAGAAATAGTACAGCATTTACTTCTGGGCATAACGAACTCTTTTCTTCGCTTTTTATTTGCATGAAGGTTCAAGTTTGGTAAAGCTTCTAGTATACTATACATTAACATATGCAAGTGCTTCCATTAGTTTCTATGTAATTTGGTTCTTCAAAAATGCAATAGTTACTTCTAGTTTATCCGCATGCCTTGTCTTTGTCTTTTTGTTCCACGTACTCATAGGTTCAAATTTTCCTACTCATGAAGTATAATATTAAAATAGAGATTTAAATTTCCAGTATAAAGTTTTTGACAGCATCGGTGGTCTAGCGGCTTAGTACTAAACCGTTTTACATTTGGTCGCAGATTCGATTCCTCGTTCTATACAAAAATTTGTATTCATGAGTATGATTGTTTGTATTAGTCTGGGTATTTTCTATGTATATTGTGTATGTATGCATAAAAAAATGTATTCAAGTATATCTATCAGTTGTCTAGTAGCCACAACATAAGCTGTGCTTAGCATGGGACCAGATGACGCTGTGTGAATTGTCCAGGAATATGTATTTATTTGTTTAATAAAAATATTTTTTGATATTGTTTTTGTTTTTTGCTGCACTACAATGAAAACATTGACCACCATTTCCACTCTACTAGTGAGCCAACAGTCAATAATTCAGCACTTAGTTGATTGCCATGTTTGATGACGATATGTTTATGTAGGTAGAGTATTATTATATATTATAACTTAAACCCCTTAGAAAAGCAGACCTTATACCTATTACACAAGGTCCCTTTTTAAATTAACATTTAGGTCTAAAACTGGAATGAGTCGTTTATAAAATGTACTATTTATAATATATTACAGGTCACAATCAGTGTACAGCAAGAGCAGTGGCGCGGTGGGCGGTGGACCGCTGGTAGCGGCGCAATCGCTGCTGCTGCGGCCGCCACAGCACGCGCACCCTCATGCACATGCTCACCCACACACACAGCACGCCATGACGCACAATCAGAACACGCACAACGCACAACGTGAACCCGCCTACGGCACCGCTGTGAATGGAGTCAGGCCTGGACCGGCTGGTCAGTATATTTGTATTAACTTACCCCTTGATATCAAGATCACCGACCTTTTTTTAAAAGTAAACTGCGGGAATACTATCTAAAGTATGCTTCTATTATTTTTCTCTTGTTTCTCTTTACATTACATTTTTCTTTTTATTTTCTGTGATTTGACTGGCCTATAGCCTTCCTCATTATATGACTTCCATTGTCCCCTATGCTATAAAAAAAGTGAGAGCACTCACTTTTTCTATAGCATAGGATACAATGGACGTCATACAAACCCACATAGGGCACCTTTCCCTGAATGTACAGCAATCGATACCAATTTGCAGGTGCAGCAGTAACAGAGCGTCGCGAGTCCGTGTACAGCGCGAGCGTGAGCGCCAGCTCGGGCTCAGCGGCAGCACGGCGCGGACCTCTGCCCTCCGATGACAGTGCGTACGGCAGCGGTACCTACGCCCGCGCCCCCTACCGCGCCACCCCAGACCACTACTAGCGACGACCTTCGCAGCACAATATTGCGCTGCTCTTTGATGTATAAACTCTTCTAGTTTCTTTCAAGTTCAAGGCACAGAATTCGACGCGCACCGTCCTTGTGAATTTGGGTAATGATGATGACGAGCTAAATTCGGGGAACGATCAGTGTTTGAAAGGAAATAAAAAATGAACTCAACATATATACAGTGCTTTCCTAACATCGAAAAATGTAGAACGCAACTTTGGAAGAGGGACGTTATATTTTTGGTGCGATCATAGACACTGCAGTTTTAAATGTAGATAGATAGGTAATTTTAAGATTTTATGAATCCTGTTGTGCCATGTTTTTGTACCATTATTTTAAGTTAGTTATGTAAATGCATTTATATTGTTTTTTATAAATTGATCGATGTATTTAATTACCGTAGGAAACATCTAATATGCTTACATTCCGAAATGCATAATTTGCTTCGCAAAGTAATTATTTGAGATTTTATTTTAAGAAATAGATAGATTACCTATCGGCTGATACTGAATTCCAAAATAAAAATCCTATTAAGCTATGAATTGCTAAAAATATTTTATTACACAATATGTAGAAGTTAACATGAAAATAATTTCTACAATTTGTACTACTAAGTTTAAAGATTATTTACAAAATAACATTTTAGAATCCGACCCAAAGAATACATGTAGAGGGATAAACATCCAGAAATCCAATGGTTCGTCCAGTGTCATGCGACTAGAAATAAATAAAAGTTTATCTGGAAAAAAAATAGGTACTGTACTACAGTAAATAGGTACTGTATATTGTAGGTATTAGTAGTAAGATCTGCTTATAAATTAATAATATATATTGCAAGTACAATTTAAAATTTGGTATTCACCGACTGAATCTTAGTATTACAACAGAAACGTATTTGTTTAATTTTTATTTTCTGTATTGAAATTATAGTAATTATAAATCAAAAACTTATTCGGTTAGGATATATTTAGCTACTATAAAAACCATAACTCCAAATTAGCGCCAAAATGGAATGAAGCAACTTCTTTCGGTCAGTAGTAAAAATTGTAATAAATAAGTAATATATTAAATACTCGATTAAGGTAATACGTATGTATATCGTTGAAAGACTTACTAGTTTAAGTATTTAGATTTTTCGACTATAATGAAAAATACTTGTTTAATAGTTATATGAAAAAATCTCATCTTTAAAAATCGACTGTACTATATCTTTCACAAATCTACGTAGATCGTTTAAACGAGTATGAATATAAGTAACAATATAAATAATCTTCCACGCTCGTTAATCCAATATTACGTAATATTAGGTATAAGACCTGCATAGATGACGAACTTTTTGTCCGCGGGGAACTAATTGAACAATATTTTCTAGTTGTCTATGGTTTCTGATTATACAAAGATACACATAATATTATAGCTTTACAACGAAAACTGTAGTGGTTAAGGTTTAATTTATATATAGGCGAAATGTAGAATATTGATTTTTACATGATTTAACATGTAAAAATCAATTTCCTTGTAGCAATTTAATTTTCCAATATATCAGGGATAGAGAACATATTATTTAAATGTTTTGTAATAGTCCATGAATGTATTGAGGTACGGTGTAATTAATTCGTAATATAATAATTGTCTTTAACGTGATAATGGTTTTATGCTTTATTATGGGAGACAAAATAGTACGCGGAGGATTGTTCTTCGTCTGCGCAGGCTTGTAATTAGTATAGTGTTTACAGTAATGTACTGGGCCATATTGTTGATATATCCAATATTTTAAAATAGATTATATTGTAAATACAACTTTATAGTTAAGTAGCATTTTAGATAGGTAAAATTAATTTTTGATGACCTCATTCCTCTATAAATACCTACTTATTTAAAGAAATAATTTTAATGAATTTTTCGTGATTCGATAGGATATTAAAATTATTTAACTGCCTGTTTTAAATGAGTAAGTCTCCTAAACATTAATATTGATAGCTTTAAATTGTGTACCTACTTACTATGTATTTGCGAATTTTATAATACAAAATAATAATGCAAAAATTGAATTAAATTAAAATAGTAATGTTGTCTCAACTTGATACAGATGTATATGAATATTATTCAAATAATTAAAAATTATAGTAGACATAAGGTTACCATACTTCATTTCTCTTCCCATTCTGGACCAAAATAATTACATAAAAAAAAACTTTCATAATGACTCAGTGTATTCCATCATATCATACAATATAAAAGCATGAATTCTCAATTAATATTTTATACCTTCAAAATATTAGATAAATAATATGCCGAATATTCTCCATTGTCTTTGCTGACGATGAACAGCAAAATACGAAAAACATACTTATGCAGAAAATATAAATCACTCTTGCTTGTCTATTTCTCTAACTTCAAAATTATTTTTGGCGGAAGATATACATTTTATACACATAGTTATTCCATATATATACCATTACTTGGTACAGTTCTACAAAACAGGAGTGGAGATATAGTAGCGAATATATAATGGTTAGCTGTTTATAAATATTGCTACGAGTTAGATATCGATATTGTATGTTTAAATGTCACTATTTAATAGGATCGCAGGCAAGATTAGAATGGACAACAAAAGGTCTCGTATTGAATGAAATTGTAGTAGGTATAACATTATGTGCACATAAATTTGTGATATAACTATGAATTCTTCTAGAGATGATTAAACATCACAACGTTAAATTTTGTAAATAATGAACCATAATAAATTAACTTACAGTTTTATTTTTGATGTTTTATTTATCTTAATAACCTTTATTTTTATTAGTTTATTGAAAGTTACGAGAATGGAGGGCCACTGCAGGCATACATACTGTATCTTCTCCTTTACATGCACTGGTACTCCGACACGATACTGTCTATAAACCTGTGGCGAAAAAATAATAGAGTAATAGAGTGGGTGAAATATCGCGGGTCTCCGGCACCCTCTGGCCCATGTTCCAAGGATGTAAGACCTAAAGACGAGCCCTGTAAGAATCTTATCCTGTATTATGTATTTTCTAATATACCAAAATATTCTATTTAAGAAATCTAAGAATAAAACTAGGCAGAAAGTACGTATCAGCACCGTCTAGTCTCAAACTGAACAGAGTTGTCATTAATCGATGGAAGTTTCCTTCTCTGGTGTATCTTTGTTGGCAACTTTTACCGCCATGATATTGTAGATCTAGTGTAAACTATTTACAAGAACATATATATAATGAATAAATACACTGGTCTAGACATGGTGAAAGGTTCGAATTTTGTTAAAAGGTTAACCGTGAATTTGCTAATAGTATTTACGCTGTCACCACCCCAAGAACCAAGTTACAATGATTAATACTTGTATTAAAGGTGATAGATATATGGCTATGTTTAATGGACACAAATAATACCAAAATATATTTTTTAAATAAATTTTATTTTATTATTTAATTTAATATACATATTACTGTTGTCAGCTGTCGTGGGGGAATGTCAAAATATAAGAAAGCTCGAACCGTAAAAATGACACGTAGACAACATAATTACAATGAAATTAATTCATTATTTGTGCTTATAGATACCTACATGTTTAGTACTGCGCATAAATTATTATGAAATACGTTATTCTGTTATAGTTATACATATCAAATTTCAAATAGAGTATCCATGGCGTCGCGATTACTATACGCGATCACAGACTGTCCATGGTCTTCTCAAGATGATAAATAGACTTAAAGAAAGACCAGAAACATAGAAATAGAGATAGGTTTAGACTACAAGAAAAATTACTATATTGTTGATGAATATAACAGCATGTTTCTTTGTAAATTTATATAATTCTCTGAAAAGGGTTCGCCACGTTGCCAGCAGATATGGCAGCGATGTGACATAGCAACTTAGTTGTATGAAACCATATGACGTTAGTTGTATGTCGCGGCATTACTCGGATACAAAGTCATACGCGTTAATCTAGGGCATGATTCATTATTATACCAAATTGTATTCAAAATCAATCCAGCCATTCAAGAGTAATCTAGTTATAATCTTAAAAAACCACATCCATGATAGTAGAATGCAATATAACCTATATATGCCTGTTTTCTACAGGCATATATCCTCGCGCACTGACTGGTGTGATATCCCCAATGTAGTTTAACAAATTTCAACTCTGCTGATAATGTAGCGAAGCCTTTAGGGCGTTATACACTAAAAACTTGAAGGAGTAAGGGAAGCGAGCGTTCGGTCGCTTAATCTAACTCCACAGACAATTGCTAACATAAAACGCAAAGCGAACACATACAGCATCAGTAAATTGTAGATACCAGTATAAAATTCAACATACTATATACATAAATCGAGATTAAATGTTTTTTCAGTACGTTTCATGATTGAAACTTATCACTTACTGTGATACAGAAAAAGCCTGAAATCTCGCACGAGGGGGCGACGGGCACTAAAACAGTCTTACACCGAGAGCCTCGTTATTCCCGCAATTTATCGTGGCTTGTTCCGCCAATTTCGTATCTACCCCGTCGCACCCCTAAAATAAATATCCAAACAAGCCAACTTCAATTTCGGCTACACACGAACGCCTTTGTTTTATTGTATCGTAATGTGAGAATTAAAAATAACATATTACTACTCACAGAGGAATAAAATGGAAATTAAATTAACTATGCACAAATTAGTCAGTACCTACCTTACATAATGAGTCCTAATACTACAAAATACGAAAGTAGATTTAAGTTATTTTATTTATAGATTAACATAAAAATAAAATAAAACCGAACCTCTTTCATCTATAGATATAGGCTATATTTTATTTAAAAAAAATAGAGAACCTAGAATAATTGCATCCGTGTCGGGCGGGGCGGGTAGCTAGTGTTAAAAAAATGAATATCAATACACTCGTCGAAAAGATATATTTAATTTAATATCTAGATAATAAGCTACCTCAGAGATTACAATATAAAATTACAAACACTATAGTACCTACCTACTTGTGGGCAAACTGCAAAGAGAGAGATCTAGATTTATTTGTAACTCTAATACTCACATAGCAACTAAAAGTCATGGAAAAACAAATTGAATCGAGTTTTAATTAGTGTTATGTACCTATCTCTCTAAATAATATACAGCTCCGTTAAAGCTACCAATAAATAAATAAACTTAAGAAATATGGAGAAACTAAAAAACTAGTCACA